CCAGCAGCGCTGCTGATGCCTGAACGGTATGTGGAATGAAGTGGGCGGGCATCGGGAGGCCACTATGGCACGGGGCAAGCACTACGGGCAGTCTATCTGAAGTGTACCTGGCGTATAAGACGACCCCCCACTTGGAGGCATATTTTTCAGCGCCAAAAAATCGTCTTATACGCCGGCAAATACGGTATGTTTCTTGTGTGTTCATCCAGAAATTTGCAATATATTGGGATCATATTTACTTTTAAGTCACTTCCAAATTTTTTCCATTACAAATAATGGTATGAGGAACATCCATCCTCTTGCAAGTACTTTTATGAACTTGTATGAGTACCTGAGGTCTTGCATTTAAAAAATAATAATTATGAAAAATAATAATTATGCCTAATATTTAATTAGCACTTTACATTTTACAAAGTACTTATATATATTTGGTCATCACAAACAACTCTCTGAAATAAGCTAAGGAAATGCTGTTTAATCCTGTTTTACAGATGTGAAAACACACTTACTAGTTTAAGTAACTTGCCAAATATCCTTTAGTAAATGGTAGAGCTGTCATTAAAATCCAGGCCTTTTGATTTGGTTACTCTTTCACCATGCCATAATTGCCTGTAAGGAAAGGGACTATGAAGATGGGACTTAACATCAACTTTTAATATTTTATTTTATTTTTGTGGGATAGTCTTTCTCTACCTGAGCAATTGGGGCCATTTTAGTATAGAAATTATGAGGATTCTGTCTCTTTCTCCACAGAGAAGTTTTCGTGTAGAAAACATTTTTGTGACACTTACGTGGTTGGTAATAGCTTTCTGCAGTGTAGCTGTACCTTTGTTGGATTAAAATCCCCCAAAGCGGGAGCATTTGTTCTTTTGAATTGGCCTTCTTTTGGATTGGGTTTCTTTAAGTTCTCAGGTTTTGCAAAAGTGGCTTCCTTTAAAATTGGAACTTGCCTATAACAAGAGGTTTTGCTTCTTCCTGACTTATCTGTTGGGCAACAGATTCTACGATTCAGAAAGTGATACATGAAAAAAAAAAAAGTTAATACACTGCATGCCTAGCTCTGGTTATGGTTATCTGCTTCTTTTTATTGAATTGAAAACAGATCTTTTAATTTGAAAGTTTAAAAACACAGTCGTATATTTTTATGAAACTTGGCTGAAATGTGTTGGTTAAATAATATACTCAGGCTAACTTGACTTGTCACTTTCAGAACTGTAATTTCCCTAAATTGTGAATATGTGAAAAATGCACATATGGAGAAGTCTATAAAACATAAATATATAGGTTACCAAATAATTATAAACACCTGTGTTAGCACAACGCAGGTCAAGAAATTGAACATTGTCAATACTCCCAGAGGAACTCTGATCACATTTCCTCACCTTCCTGTCCTAGAGAAAACACTCTTCTGACTTACAGCAATCACATCCTCAGTTTTCTTTTTCTAAGTATGCATCTGAAAACAATATAATATAGTTTTGCCTATTTTTTAAATTTCTATGTTATTTATTATTATTTTTTTACTTATTTTTTAAGATTTTTATTGGGGAATTGGGGTACGGGAACAGCGTTCGGGAATCGGGGAAGGGGAACAGACAAGTTGCTGTCCTTTTGTTCTTCAGTCTAGTTGTGGAGGACATGGCTTCACTGGCCCATGTTGGTATTATCATTGCGCTCTTCCCAGGTGAGGCAGTTGCTCACTGGCCATTGGACGGCCGCTCATGGCGGCTCACGAAAGCTCATGCCTGCTGCCAGCCAGCCCCATTGCAGCCTATGCCGTCGCCGGCAACTCACGGCAGCCCAGCTCCAGGTCGAGCTGTTGTTCACCATCTTAGCTGTATAGGGCTCAGCATCGCTGGCCGTCATGTGGGATCTGGACCGGGGCCCTGCTGTTCAGAACTGGCGTCCCAAGCCAACTCCTAACCAATGTGCCACTTGGCTGGCCCTGTTATTTTTTTATCCATTATTGTTTATTATCCTCTCAATTTAATCTGTAAATAATGCTTATTTTACTGTTTTGTTATATGTGATTAATGGAAATTGAATCCTATGAAATGTATTTAATGAGACCCTTTTTTTCCTTCAGTTACGACCACCTCAACCTCCAGTGTACCTCTTTGTATTTGATGTGTCTCATAATGCAGTTGAAACTGGATACTTGGACTCAGTTTGCCAGAGTTTGTTAGACAATCTGGATTTGTAAGTATCTTAATTCAGTTTAAATTTGAAACTAACAGTGTTTACAAAATGTGTAAGTAGTTCAAAATACAAAAAAACAAACTATGTAATTATGTTCTAAGAACCTACTTAAATCAGTTGTGAATTTTAGGCCTTGCTTTCTCTAAGAAACTTTATTTTAACTTTTTATTATGGACAAATTTTGAACATATAAATTGAAAGAATATAATGAGCTTCCAGATATCCATCCTTCAACTTCTGCATTTTAAGCATTTAGCTATTCTTGCTTCACCTAGTCACATGCGCACATGTGCGCGCGCACACACACACTTTTTTCCCCTTGAGTATTTTAATGCAAATCTTAGCACATCATCTTACTTATAAAACTTGGAATTATTTTTAGCCCTAACTAAAATACAGAGTGTTGCACCAAGCAAAATTAGCAATAATTTCATAATGTGATCTCATACCCAGTTCAATTTTTGTGCCTGGTTGTCTCAAAAATGACTTTTTACTTTAGGTTTGTTGGACTAAGAACCCAAACAGCATTCACACATTGCATTTGGTTGTCATACCTCTTAAGTCTCTTAAAATATCTGTACTTTAAAGATGCTTAGCTACTTAGTATAGCCCATAAAAGCTTGTATGACCTTTCAGTATAATGAAGTATAGTGTTCTTGTGTGGTATGGAAGAATGTGGAGGATCAGATTGAATCAGAAATGGACTAACTCCCTCACTTTGATGAAAGGGGCATCCTTGTTCTTGCCAGCATTTGTATTTTTAATGTTGTAGATTGTGTGTGGGAATTGTCTGTTGATGAGAGAGTCCACTAATTCACCTAAGCATGGGTAAAATTTTTTAAAGATATGCAGTACCTAAATTTATATTACATTTTAGGGTTGGTATATGGTAATTTTTAATGTATTTTTCTAAATTAAAATTATCTACAAAGTTTTGTACATGCTTTCCAGTATTTTTTATATGCCATTTTCTGAATGATTTATATAACTTCATATAGGTATAATGAGTTTTGAAATGCTGTATTATTGCTGGGTTTTATTGATTGTTTGACTCACATGTCGTGTTTTCGCTTTGAGTAGGGTAAATTTTCATAGTGATGAAACATTGTGTGGGTTAAACAGTTATGTTGGGAAAATTTCCATAATATAAAAGTAGATATTTGTATGTAACTCTTAGCAGCTATTTTATATATATGTGTATATGGGAAAACTTGATAAGAGACTCTTCTAAATTTGTTTTTAGGCTTCCTGGCAACACTAGGACAAAAATTGGCTTCATAACATTTGATAGTACAATCCACTTCTACAGTCTTCAAGAAGGTCTCTCTCAACCTCAGATGCTAATAGTTTCAGATATTGAAGGTATATATTATACACTTAAAATTATTGAACTGTCTTAGGAATTTTCAGTTCTAGAAATATTCCATGACTATTTGACAGATTAGAGTTGTATGGTAAAGTTCTACTCTACTGAGGAAAACCTTGAGTATAAAATCACAAGATTGTTGAAATTGTAAGAGTCCTTCAGTCCAATCCCTCATTTTATAAAAGAGGAAACAGAGTTATGGAGCTAAAGTGAATTCTGAACAAGGCAACCAAAACAAGTTGATGTTAAAACTCAGATTAGCTCTTTTTGCCTTCTCATTCATTTATTTAAAAAGTACTTGAAGGGCCGGCTGAGTGGTTCAGTTGGTTAAGAGCTTGCTCAAGAGTGTGAGCTCTGAGCAACAGCGGTTTGAGTCCCGGCCCGAGCTGAGCAGCTGCTGAGCTGCCAACAGGTGGCAGGATGGCTCAGCTAACAACAACAACAAAAAAAGTACTTGAAGATAGACATACAGATCAGTGGAATAGAGTAGAGAGCCCAGAAATAAACCCTCAAATATATGGTTAATTGACTTTTGACAAGGATGCCAAAACCATTTGGTGGGAAAAAGACAGTCTTTTCAACAAATGGTCCTGGGAAAACTGAACATGCAAAATAATGAAGTTGAACCTGTACCAGATTAAAAAAAAAAAAATGAACTCAGTGGATGAAAGACCTAAACTTAAGAGCTAAAAATTATAAAACACTTAGAAGAAAATGGGAAAATCTTCATGACATTGGATTTGGCATTGATTTCCTGGATATGACACCAAAAGCAGAGGCAACAAAAGAAAAAATAAATTAGGCTTCATTAATATTAAAAACATTTTTACATCAAAGAACATTGTCAAGACAGTGAAAAGACAACTTACAGAATGGGAGATAGTATATGCAAATCATATATCTGATGAAGGAAAATAGCCACAACATATAAAGAACTCCTTAACACAACAACAAAAAAATAATGCAAGTCAAAAATGGGCAAAGGACTTGAATAGACTTTTCTCCAAGAAGATATACAAATGACCAATAGTGAAATAATGAAAAAAATACTTAATGGCCTTAGTTATTAGGGAAATGGAAATCAAAACCACGATGAAATACCACTTCACATCCATTACTATGGCTATTATCCAAAACTTGGAAAATAACAAATGTTGGCAAGGAATTGAAACTGTTGTGCATTACTGAGGGGAGTGTAAAATGGTGCTGTGCTGGTACAGCCACTATGGAAAACAGTACGGAGAGTCCTCAAAAAATTAAGAATAGAGATGCCATATGACCCACAAATTCTACTTCTGAGTATTTATGTGAAGAAAACAAAAACACTAATCACAAACGATATATGCACCTCTGTTTATTCAGCATTACTTACAATAGCCAAAACATGGAAGACAACCTGGGTGTCCATTGATAGATGAATGGATAAAGAAGTCACACACACACACACACACACACACACACACACACACACACACACAGTGGACTACTACTCAGCAATAAAATGAAATCTTTTTTATTTTATTTTAATTTATTAATATTTTTAAAAATTAGCTTCAGGTGTACAACGCAGTGCAATAGTTATTCTTTTTAACCCTCAAAGTGACAAACCTCTCCCCCAATCTGCCTCCCCTCTCCCCCCGTATCATTCATATCTACTACAATTCCATTGACTCCACTCCCACACTATACTCCACATCGTGTGACTATACATATATATTCAATTATAGTTGACATAAAATATTATGCAACATCAGCTTCAGGTGTACAGTGCAGTGATCAAGCCTCTACTCCATCCATGAAGTGGTCTCCCTAATGAGACGTGTGACCATCTGACACACTACAAAATATTTACAGCATTATTAATTATATTCCCCAAACTGTCTTTCATATCCCTCTGGCAGTATTATAGTTATTAATTTATGCTATCTAACCCCTTCCCCTTCTCCCTCAGCCCCATCCCTCCTCCCAGCTAGCAGCCATCAGTTTTTCCTCTATATCTCTGAGACTATTTCTGTTTACTTTGCTCATTCATTCAGTTTTTTAGATTCCACATGTAAGGGAGATCATATGGTATTTGTCTTTCTCCGACTGACTTATTTCACATAATAGTCTCTAGGTCCATCCATATTGTTGCAAATAGTACGATTTCATTCTTTATAGTGGAACAATACTCCATTGTATAAATGTACCACAGTTTCTTAATCCAGTCGTCTACCGATGGGCATTTTGATTGTTTCCAAGTCTTGGCTATTGTAAATCATGCTGCAGTGAACGTAGGGGTGCATGTATTTTTTCGAATTAGTGTCTTGGGTTTCTCTGGATAGATACCCAAGAGTGGAATTGCTGGGTCATATGGTAGTCCCATTTCCAGTTTCTTGAGAAACCTAAATGAAATCTTTTGAACAACATGGGTGAACCTAGAAGGTATTGTGCTAGGTGAAACAAGGTAGAGAGAGACAAGTAACATATGATTTCACATATATGTGGAATCTAAAAAAATAAAACATATAAAGCAAAACAAATGGATCCATAGATATAGAGAACAAGCTAAAGGTTGCCAAAGGGGAGGTAGTGGGGAGATGGGTGAAAATAAATACATGAATATTAAAATATAGAGTGGTACCGTGCTATGGAAAATAGTGTGGTGGTTCCTGAAAAAAGTTAAACACAGAATTACCATAGTAATCTAGCAATTCTACTTCTTTGTATATGCCTAAAAGAATTGAAAGCAGGCACTGAAACAAATACTTGTACACCAGTGTTCCTAGCAACATTATTCACAATAGCCAGAGGTAGAAACAACCCAACTATCTATCAACAGATGAATGGATACACAATGCTGTATATACATATGATACCCTTAAGAATGAAATTCTGATGCATGCTACAACATGAATGAACCTTGAAAACATTATAAAAAGTGAAATAGACCAGATGCAAAAGGACAAAATATTGCATGATTTCACTTAAGAGGTACCAAGAATAGGCAAATTAATAGAGATTTAAAGTAGAGTACAGGTAACCAGGGTAGGCTGAGGGAAAGGGGAGTAGGGAATTATTATTTAATGAGTATATCATTTCTTTTGGGATGATGAAAAAGTTCTGAAACTATATAATGTGAATGCACTTAATTGTACACTTAAAAATGGTTAGGATGATGTTTTTTGTGTACTATGTATATTTTACCACAATTTAAAAAATTAACTCAAAATGGATTGTAGACCTGAGTATGAGGCTAACACTATAAATGGTTAGAGGAAAACATAGAAGTAAATTTTTGTGACCTTGGATTAGGCAGTGATTTCTTAGATATAACACCAAAAGAAAAAACAGGTAAATTGGGCTTCTTCAAAAATAAAAACTTTTGTGCTTCAAAGGACACCATCAAGAAAGTGAACCAACAACTGACAGAATGAGAAAAAATATTTGCAAATCATATATCTGATCAGGGATTTATATATAGGTTATATAAAGAACTCCTACAACTTAACAGTAAAAAGATACACCTAATTGAAAAGTGGACAAAGGAGTTGAATAGACATGTCTCTATTTAATACACAATATTCAGTATTCTCTACATACAGTTGGCCAATAAGCACTTGAAAAGAAACTCCCTGTAGTTATCAGGGAAATGCAAATGAAAACCACCAGATGCCACCTCACACCAGTAAAAAGAAATTTTCAAACTAAAATTTTTTTTTTCCTCTGAGTATGTCTGAATGACTGAAAGCACCACGAATATTGGTTTTGGGGTTACAAATAAATTTTAGCAAGTAGGCAAATATGCAAGTGTGGAATCCATGAACAATGAGGATTGACTGTACTTCTTTAAAGGGGAGTAGTTGATAATGAGTGAATGAATAAAATAAAATTAAAATAAAATAAAATAAAGGGGAGTAGTTGAGGAGAGCCCCCTTCTGCCTTGGTTGTTCTAAATCTCACAACAGATAAGCCAAATCATTCATTTATTCCCTAATCTTTTCACTGAGATACTTATTTGGCATAAAATAAAATCTGAACAGGTAGATTTGGGCCAAATTGTGAATTCAGTGTTGTGGTCCAGCCTCTCAATATTATACATGATCTAATAGGTGGAATATCCCTTAGAGAATGTCACATAGCAAAAAAAGGGGAAAAAGTGACAGTAACAAGTATTTATAAGGAAATGGAGAAATTGGAACTCTTGTATACTGCTAGTGGGAATGGAAAATGGTTGTGCCACAATGAAAAACAATCTGTCATTTCTCCCAGAAGTTAAATATATAGTTACCATATGACCCAGCCATTCCACTCAATAGATATATACTCAAGAAAATTAAAACATGTCCACACAAAAAAATGTGTATATGAATATTCATAGCAACATAGCCCAAAGTGGAAACAACCCAAATGTCCATTATTTGAAGAATGGATAAACAAAATGTATATCCATACAGTGAAACGTTATTTGGCAGTAAAAACGAATAAAGTATTGATCAATGCTACAACATGGATGAACCTTGAAAACATATTAAGTGTAAGAAACCAGTCAAAAAGGACCTTATAGTGTGACTCCTTTAATATGAACTGTTCAGAATAGTCAAATCCAGAGACAGAAGAACTGGGGGCTGCTTAGAGCTGTGGGAATTGGCAGGGAAGTGAGAAGAGACGGCTAATCGGTGAGGGGTTTCTTTTTGGGATGATGAAAAGGATCTGGAATTAGACAGTGGTGATGATTGTACAAGGGAGAATTATAGCTCAAAAACTTACTAATTTAAAAAAAATTTTAAAGCGCTGGCCGAGTTGCACGCTGGTTAAGAACTGGCTTGGGATGCCAGAGGGCCCCGGTTCGGATCCCACATATGAGGGCCAGTGACACTGCCCTCCACAGCTAAGATGCTGAACAACAGCTCAACCTGGAGCTGGGCTGCTGTGAGTCGCCGGCGACGGCGTAGGCTGCAGCCCCTGCTGCAGTGGGCTGCCATAAGCTACCGTGCGTGGCCGGCACTCAGCATGAGCAGCCAAGAGCCGGCCGTCCAGATACTGGCAACCGATCTGCCTCACCCGGGAAGAGCGCAATGATAATACCAACATAGGCCAGTGAAGCAACGTCCTCCACAATTAGACTGAAGAACAAAACGACAGCAACTTGTCTGTTCCCCTTCCCCAACTCCCCAGTGCTGTTCCCGTCCCCCAATTCCCCAATAAAATCTTTAAAATAAATAAATAAAATTTAAAGATAAAAAGGGAAGAAATCTAAACAGAATTTTAACGTGACAGCTAAAGTAAATAATGTTTCATATTATTTGTTGGTGTTATTTTTTACATACATTATAATGAGCCTTATTTTTTTTCAAATAAAAATCAAACAGTACAAAAATGAAGAAAGTAAGACCCCTCATAATCTACCACTACCACCCACATTTCCTTCCCAGTTTGCTTCCTTCTCAGGAAGGGAATTGAATTCCTCAGCAAGAATAAATTTGCTGAAAAGCTCATCTGATGTGGTCAGTTAGCATGCCTTCTGATTCACTTGATTTTGTAGTCCCATAAGCAGAGGCAATGATGGGCGTCTTTATGAGAAAGCATCTGCTTTTTGAATGACAGAGCTGTTGGTGGGTTGTATTATGTCTGTGTAAGAAGAGATGGCATTCTTGTGTATCATCTTAGTCAACATTTTTTTTTTTTAATGCCATGAGTGTTTCTTTGGCTGGCTTTCAGGGCTAAGCAAGAACGGAAAGCAGAATTCTGAATCGTTGTCTTTAACTTAAGAAGCAGAGCGCTTGTGCAAACCCCAACTGAGTGCTTACAGATCATTATTTTCTAATTGAGAGGTATTTTCTAATTGGGAGGCTATTTATCTTTTACACAGTAATAGTTAATTTACAGTAAATAGATAAATCAATGCTCCTTTTGTGCCCTTTGAACATTATATATAGACAGTGGAGGAGGTGGCTTTTCTGTAAGTATGGGGTGGTTAATTATATCAGTTATGTATTTGGGGTATCTTTAATAATTAAGTTTGTTTAAATGAAATATTTGTTCTTTCAGATGTTTTTATACCTATGCCAGAGAACTTATTAGTAAATTTAAATGAAAGAAAAGAGGTAAGGCACATTTTCCTATCTGACATGTTTAATTGAAGGAATATATTTTTTGAAATGAACTTTAAGTAAAATTTTGCTTTTCTGTCACATTTCTAAGATGTGTAGCATTTTATATTTTGCTGTTAGTTAAAATTCATCGAAAGAACAGCTTTTGAGTTTACCCTTGAACTGATTGCTTTTAAGTCTAATATAGCAAGTTATTTGTAGTAGGGTAGAAGATTAGCCTATTCCATTAAGGAGGAAAACCTGAAGGAAACTTGCCTTGCCAGCCATTTGGGAAATTGGGAGGGTTGCTGAGATAAGCTTCTGGTCACTACATAGAAGCATTTAGCTAGGCTGCTTTCAGTGCCCTTTGCTTTTCTGATTCACAGAGTGTCATTGGGGTCAGTTCAGAAGAAACTCTTATTACCTGCCTGGAAATTGCCATGACATAATACAGTGAGAGGTGAACAGAATGTGTCTGAAGGGGGGATGTTGTCTACCCTGTACATGCATATATGCCGTAGGGGTAACATTTTAACTAGCAAGTCTATGGTCTCAGCTGTTGGCAATGGTGACTTCGCCACCATAGTGCGAAGTATTTTTTTTCACATTAACTCTCTTTTTATTTGTACAACCTAACCTGAATAGGTAGTTGTGTTTCCTTTTGCTGTGATATTACTAGTTGGCAAATTTACTGGATATCTCAGATTTTGCAATAGGAAAGAGTTCAATTCACTTTGGAACTGGAAAGAATACAGTGTGTAGAGGTGATTGATTGAGAAGGCCATATTTCATGGCATAAAATAAATCAAGTCTCTAAACTGTAAGGGTTCTTTTGGATACATTTTGGACTTATAGTCTTGCTGGACTACTGCATGTGCAAGAACTGTAAGGCCTCAATTTTGATTTGTCTTGCTTGCCAATTTATAATGTTGATTTAAAATGGCTTTCTTGTCATTTGACCCACTTCATTGTTTACTGTACTGTCTGTAGATTCTCTGACCATCATCATGACTCAATGTCTTGTCTGTTATATTAGTTACTGACCTTTCTTGGAAAAAAAAAATTTAATTGTAACACTCTTGAGTTTTCTTGCTTTATTTTACAAGCTTGTCCAAGATTTACTGAAAACTTTGCCGCAAATGTTCACCAAGACCCTGGAGACCCAGAGTGCCTTGGGTCCTGTACTTCAGGCTGCCTTTAAGCTGATGTCCCCAACTGGTGGTCGAATGTCCGTCTTTCAAACACAACTCCCAACTCTTGGAGTGGGAGCCCTGAAACCACGAGAGGAACCCAACCAAAGGTCATCTGCTAAGGTTAGAAGGTCATCAACTCTATGATAAGACTTATGTTGGTGCCCCGTCACCTTGACCATGCAGCTTGTATTTTATTTATATTTCAGTTGTAGAGAGGAGGGATATAAGGAAATGGATAAAGTGTTTCTTTTTTATATAGACTTTTTAATTTTATTACATTATTTTCTACTCGACTCACCCTTACCTTATATTTAGATCTTTAGCAAGCCATTAGCAATGCAGCCTGCCTTTGATGAGAAAGATAGACTAAGAGAATATACTTGCTAGGGACAAAGTAGAACCTGGATGACCAGTAAAAAATAGTCATAGTTAGGTATATTGACTGCCATGGATTGCTTTTGAGCACCTTGTATGTATAAACTTAGTTAGAGATGTGTATTTCTCAAAAGATTATAAGAGTGAGGCCATGCTGTAATGATTATGGTGTCTGTCCTGGAGTCAGTCTGCCTAAGTTCCACTGCTTTTTAGATGTGTGAGCTTGAATAATTACTTAATTTCTCTGCCCCTCTGTCTCCTTATATTTATAAAGTGAAAATAATGATAGTACCACCTCTTATGGTAGTTAAAAGGACTAAATAGATACTACATATGAACTGTTTAGAACGGTTTCCAGCATACTAAGCATTTAATAGGTAATTGAAATTGGCATAATAGATGTATTTCTTTTTAAAAGGAAAAAAATGAAACCTCACAAGCTGTACTTGTTTCTTACTGGAAAACCAAAAAATATTACAAAGAAAAAGGATTAAAAATTTTTCTCTTTGTACTTTATTATTAATAGGAAATTCACTTGACACCATCCACTGACTTCTACAAGAAATTAGCCTTGGACTGTTCTGGTCAGCAGGTAGCTGTTGACTTATTTCTTCTCAGTGGACAGTATTCTGATTTGGCCTCTTTGGGTAAGTTTTACTAATGATTATTTTTCTTGAATGAATGTCAAAATGGTATTTAAATAATGATATTCGAAATAGAGGACAAAGTGAAAGAAATTTTATTCCCTTGGGAGAGTTAATCACTCCGTATTGACTATTATAAACCTTACAGCTTTCTACTGTAAACATTTATAATAGAGAAATTGCTATACTATTTAAAGGAATGAAATATTCTTTTTTGACAATACCTTGGGAGCTTAATGAAAGATTGATTTAAATGCCTGCAGTTCCGTTGGTGCAGTAATAGTAGTTAATGGCAGAATTTATTGGGTTGTCGGAAAAGTCATGACGCATTTTGCAACGAAAAATAGAAAAAATACGTTATGACTTCTCCGACAACCCAATAAAAGGAGTGTGTGTTCTGTTGCAGGCTGTATTTCTCGGTATTCTGCGGGTAGTGTCTACTACTACCCCTCTTACCACCATCAGCACAACCCAGTCCAAGTACAGAAGTTACGGAAGGAACTACATAGATACCTCACTCGGAAGATTGGCTTTGAGGCAGTCATGAGGATTCGGTGCACCAAAGGTGGGTGCCCTTTTTTTTTCATTTATGTAGGAGTAGATGTTGCTTTTGATACCAGTTCTACCTCAGTTTCTCATATGTCCTTGAAAAGTTTTCCCATGCATATAAGCATATATTTTAGTCTTTAAATAAAAGCAATGGGGATTACATCTGGTTTCTTTTTAACCATATTTTTCTATTTTTGTACATACAGACCTACATCTTTTTTTTTCCTGATTACTGTTTTAAAGTTGGTTTTTATTTCATAAGCAAAACATGCATCTGTTCTTGTAAAAATTAACATTATTGATAAAGCTAAAGTCCTCTATCATCAGCTTGTTGTGTACACGTACTTTCACTTTTATTCCATCCTTACGTAGTCACTGTAACCACGTTGGTGTGTACACTTGGCTTTTCTATACATTTACATACTTATGTACCTCTCTATGGAAAATATATAGTACAGTGTATTAGCATAAATAACACTGTACATATTTTCAGCAAGTCTTAAGATCCATTAATACTAGTATTCAGTAGAATATACAAATCACAATTTAGTTATTTTCCTACTGATTGGCATTGAGGATATTTCTAATTTTTTTTTTTTTTGTTATGACAGACAAAAACAGTACTGCTTAATTTCTTTTGCACATATAATTTGGCACTTGAATGAGTGTATCTGTAGGATAAATTCTTAGATACCGAATTACTAGGGTCAAAGTAAGTATTAATTTAGAATTTTGATATTGCCAACTTTTCCTCCAAAACAGTTTCTGAAAATCTGAATCCTCACCTTCATTTAAGAAGAATCTATTACCCCTCCCTCACCCTCACTAAATACTGTGTATTATCTAATACCATTCTGCTCCCAATTCCAGTGTATGGGTTGCTTTTCCCCACACCACCAACCAATTAACTCAATTCTGACACTACCTGGAGATAGCATCAGATCCCAGAGGTTTAGGGTTAAGGGGTTCAGTCTCTAAAACTACTACCCTCCCCCCCCACACCTTACCCGCAACACACACATACACTTCAGAAGCCAATTCCCAATCCAGGTTGTAACCTTTGCTTCTGACTGACTGGCTGTAGATTGGAGGTTCCAATGACTCCCCTCTGGTTTCTGTTAATTTGCTGGAAGGGCTTACAGGACTCAGAGAAGCATTTTACTTACTAGATTACTGATTTGTTATAAAAGGCTATAACTCAGGAACAGCCAGATGGAAGAGATGCACAGGGCAAGGCATGGGGAAAGGGAAGGGACGTGGAGCTTTTGGAGCTTCCACCCTCCCCACATCTTCACGTGTTCATCAACCCAGAAGCTCTCTGAACCCCATCCTTTTGGGTTTTTATGGAGGTTTCATTACATAGTCCTTATTGTCTATTGATGATTGATTCAACCTCCAGCCCCTCTCCTCTCCCTGGAGTGGGGGTGGGGGTGGGGTTAGACTGCAAGTTCCAACTTCTAATCACATAGTTAGGTCTTCTGGCAACCAGCCCCCATCCTTAGGTTACCTAGGTGCTTTCCAAAAGTCACCTCATTAACATAGCAAAAGATACCTTTGTCACTCTCATTACTTGGGAAATTCTAAGGGTTTTAAAAGCTCTGTTGGGGGAAAGGGGAGGTGCTGATAAAAATAAATACATAAATACAATAAAAGCTCTGTGCCAGAAATGGGCAAAGATCAAATACACATATTTATTATAAACCACTATATCACATCTAAAGTTTTTAATTTACTCCGCCAGTCTGATAAGTGACAAGGGTAAAATGTAAATATCCATATGTAGGTGTATATAAATAATTTTGATAAATTTTTTTTATTCTAGGTCTTTCCATTCATACTTTCCATGGGAACTTCTTTGTTCGGTCGACAGATTTACTGTCTTTGCCCAATGTAAACCCAGATGCGGGGTATGCAGTACAGATGTCAGTGGAGGAGAGTCTTACTGACACTCAGTTGGTTTCCTTTCAGTCAGCACTCTTGTATACGTCCAGCAAGGGTAAGTTGTTTTTTTAACTGTGACAAAAATTGCATAACATGAGATCTACCCTCTTAACAAAATTTTAAGTGTATAGTACAGCATTTTTAACTGTAAGAACAATGTTGTAGCAAACGTGAGTTTCTGATTTGTTCATGTATTCTGTGGCTTGTGATAAACTCCCTCTTATTTGGAGGTAGTTACTCATTTCTATTAAACCAAAAGAGTATTCCTAGTCTGAAGAGCTTTTTGCTGTGCTTGGTAAAGTGAAAATGTTTGGTATTTATTTTCCTTAACCATTTTATTGAACAGGTATTGATTGAGAGTCTGTTCAGTGTCAGGCACTAAAATATGTTCTGATGATACAATGTCATTAAAAAAGATTTAAAAAATCTTTTTCCTCATAGAGCTTATTCTAGTAGGGGAGAAAATTAAGAGGATAAATAAGTAAAACAACAGTAATAATAGTATGCTATATAGTGATATTATTTAAGGAGAAATATAAAGCAAGTAAAGGGTTTAGGAAGTGCCAGGTGGATGGTATTTTAAGATAAGGTTACCAGGAAAGGCCTCATAAAGGTGACATTTGAGTTGTTTTAATGGAGCTCAAATGGAAATACTTTTTAAGAGTGTAGTTTGTTTATTACTACTTTTTTTGTAATGTTTTGTCCTAAAGATGATGTGAAAGCTGGTTAAAAATTTTTTATTTTTTTAATTTTGAAAATTTACCTTCTGTGTTTACCTCCTTAAAAAAGTTTTGGAGAGTGTTTCTGTGCTATATCTACTCACCTTTATAGTCCCTCCAAAATCTATAAAAAGCATGTAATAAAGGCATTTGAATGAAAATCCTTAGTATTAGAGACGTTAAATATTTTTATTGTGATTATAATTAATATAGCACACCATAAATATAAAAATTAGATAGATTTCTGTCTTTTTTTTTTTTTTTAATTGAGGAACAGTGTGTTTTTCCAGGACCCATCAGCTCCAACTCAAGTAGTTGTTTCAATCTAGTTGTGGAGGGTGCAACTCAGTGGCCCATGTAGGAATTGAACCAGCAACCTTGGTATTGTTATGAGCACTGTGTTCTAACCAACTGAGCTAACGGGCTGCCCCGATTTCTGCCTCTTGATACCAGTTTTATTTGACAAAAGAACATCCCAGTCCCTTTTCTGCTTATTGATTTTTCTTACTATTAAAAAAATTAATATGTAATTGACCTGGTAAAATCTACCCTTATAGTGTACAGTTTCACGAGTTTTGACAAATGTGTCGTATAACCACCACTGCAATCAAGATATCACAATAAGTTCCATCTCACAATTTTGTAGTCATCCTCTCTTCCCATCCCCAGCCCTTGGCAACCATTGATCAGTTTTCTGACCCTATAGTTTTGCTTTGCAAGAATGTTATATAAAAGGAGTCATATAGTAGGTAGCCTTTGTATCTGCCTTCTTTCATTTAGTGTAGTGCATTCAAGATTCACCTATGTTGTTGCATCTACCAGTAGTTTGTTACTTTTTATTCCTAAGTAGTATTCCATTGTACCCAGTTTGTTTATTTACTTCCCAGGCGAAGTCCATTTGGGTTGTTTCCAGTTTTTGGCAATTTCAAATATGGCTGCTACCGATTTTGTGACCATACGTTTTCATTTCACTTGGGTAAATACCTAGGAGACAGATTGCTGGGCTGTATGGTTAACTTTTTAAGAACCTGCCAAACTGTTTCCCAAGTGACTGTACCATTCTACATTCCCACCAGCAGCATATGAGAGTTCAGCTGCTCTGCATCCTCACCAGCATTTGCTGTTTTCAATTATTAGTTTTTTTGTTGTTTGGTTTGAGGTTTTTGTTTTGTTTTTAGCCATTTTAATCAAGTATACTGGAATCTCTTTTGGCTTTAGTTTGTGTTTCCCTGATAACTAACATTGGATATCTCTTCATATACTTATTGGGAGAAGTTTAGGTTGTTTTAATGAAAAATGTGATTATAATTTCTATTCATGTACACAAATCTTTGTCATTTCTGAGAATACCCCTTAGAGCCCTAGAATTGGAAATATAGGACGTAGAGATGAACTGTTTAGAAAATTTTGGGTATTGCCAGATTGCTATTCAGAAAGATTTTACCAATTTGTAATCCTATCAAGTGCCCTTTGTATTTTAGCATCTGATTTTATATGGGTGTAGTTGTTTCCAATGTGATAGGCTACACATTGTATCTCTTTTCCTTTCTTTTTTGTGTATTTTTTTATTAGTTTCAGGTGTACAAAACAATGTAATGATTAGACATTTACACGCCTCACAAAGTGATAACCCCATCTACTACCCATCTGACACCGTATATAGTTATTACAATAACCATTGACTATGTTCCCTATGTATGCTCTACTTTACATCCCGTAACTGTCTGTATGTCTGTCATTCTAGCTATCTAATTATAATTGGCATTCAGTATTATTTTATATTAGTTTCAGGTGTACAGCAGAGTGGTTAGGCATTTATATAATCTATGAAGTGATCCCCCCTCCCCATAAGTCCAGTACCCATTTTTTTTTTCTTTTAGTTAACATTGTTTTTATATAGAATAGTAGCTTTAAACTATGTTATGCTGTTTTACAAACATTATTTCTTTTCTTTAAAAGTAACTTGTATAAGCTCCTCATATGTGTACTTTAATTAGTCTTTATGTGTCAGTACAGGTTTTAGCATGGGTATTATCTTTTTTTTACTTGTTCTTTGGTGTTCAGGGTTTTGCTGATCAGAAAAATTTAAAAGGTTTACAGGACGTTTCATATTTAATTGTTCTCAAAAGATTTTCATTTTTGTTTCTTGTATTTATTGATTTTTGTTGTGGGTAAATTATCAAAGAGAAAGTATTGTGACCATTAGTCAATTTCTTTTTTTATTTATTTTTTATTTTTTAATATTTTATTTGGGAATTAGTGGAGGGGAACAGTGTTGGGGAATGGGGAAGGGGACCAGCCAAGTTGTTGTTCTTTAATCTTCGTTGTGCAGGGTGCCAGTCGCCATCTGGCTTCCCATCGGCAGCTCGTGGCCCGTAAGCTCAAAGTGCTGCATTCAATCTTAGTTGCAGCTGGACGTAGCCACCATCCCATGCGGGAGTCGAACCCGGCAGCCTTGTTGTTAAGAGCGCACGCTCTATCCACTGAGCCATCCGGGTGGCAGCTCAGCTCATGTTGCCGAGTTCAATCTTAGTTGCGGGTGGGCATAGCCCACCATCGAACAGGCAATCTTGTTGTTACACCAGCTGAGCCATCCTGCCACCTGTTGGCAGCTCAGCGACAGCTCAGCTT